GGACACCCACAGACACCCACAGACAGACACCCACAGACAGGGACACCCACAGACACCCACAGACAGACACCCACAGACAGGGACACCCACAGACAGATACCCACAGACAGGGACACCCACAGATGAGAGAGACACCCACAGACAGAGACACCCACAGAGACACCCACAGAGACACTCACAGAGATACAGATACAGAGAAACACCCACAGACACCCACACACAGAGACACTCACAGAGAGAGACACCCACAGAGAGACACCCACAGACAGAGACACCCACAGATAGAGAAAGACACCCACAGATGGGGAAAGACACCCACAGATGGGGAGAGGCACCCACAGACAGAGACACCCACAGACAGAGACACCCACAGACAGAAGGAGATACCCACAGAGAGAGACACCGACAGAGAGACACCCACAGACAGAGAGAGACACCCACAGATGGAGCGCTGTCCCCCCTAGTGTCAATGAGAAAGCTGAGGCTGGAGCTGGGTCAGCAACCGAATTTCAGTTTAGAGTATTTGGTTGTGGATGTGGTCAGCCACCTCAGTAAATTATTTTTGCATTGAATAAACTTATAAGCAGAAAAAAAAAAAAAGAAAGAAAAAAAAAGAAAATTACAGAGAGGTCTGTGCGCGGCTCACGCTCTAATCCCAACAATCTGGGGAAGGCTGAGCAGGCGGTATCTACAAGGTCAGGAGACGAACTATCCTGGCATACATGGGAACCGCCGTCTCTACTGTAAAAAATACCAAAATTTAGCTGGTGTGTGGGCGGGCACCGTATAATCCCAGCACCAGGAGCTAGGCAGGAGCAATCGCTCGAACCGGGAGTGGGAGTTGCGGCGGAGACTGAGACACGCCACTGCCCCAGCCTGGGTGTACAGAGCGAGACTCGAGTCTAAAAAAAAAAAAAAAAAACAAGATAACGCAGCGAAAGCAACAGATAACCATGCCCCGCAGAGACAGGCATCCATGTTGCTGCAGCGAAGTCTATATCACAGAAGTATTGTGTTTGGTGAACAATAAAAAACGGGTGAACCAAAAAAGGTCAAGTGATGACACCAAGCTGGATGAACCCTCCATCCAGTAGATGTCTATTGCGCACAGGAAGGCCACTGTGAGGACACACACCCAAAATAGTGACAGGTGCTTACCTCGTGCAGGGACTAAAAAGATATTCGGTTTCTCTTTGCTCATCGTGTATTGGATCTAAGTTTGTTTTCTTCCGAATGAACATTTGGCTAGTCCTCGGGAGTGTAAGAAAAAATGTAAAAATAAACCAACACGTTTGTTTTAAGAATAGAGACTGGCAAGGCACGGTGCTAGAGGCAATCAGAATAAAACACTTGATCACAAAATCACCACCTTTACACGGAGACAGTGATCTGTAGGCCAGAGACTGTCCAGCTGCCCCAGACTGGTAGGCCTCAAAAGCCCATTTTACTAATTAGACAACGCCTGGAGAGCATTCTCCCAACATCCTGCTGCAGCCCTATACAAAAGCACCTGCTCCGTCTTTGCTCTAAACTTGGGACAATCAACACCTGGCCCTCTGAGAGCTCCAGAGATCTCCATCTGCAGGACGCCTCTCCTAGTCTAGGACTGCACATGGAAGCCTCACAACCGGTCCCTGAAGACAGAGTGTTCCTATTCTCCTAAAAAAAATGATTAAAAAGGAGATGAATAAAGAAATGAAGAGAAAAGGCAAGAAAAAGGGAGGAGAAAGAGGTCAACCCGGTTGCTCCCTTACATCCCCTTCTGCTTCCTTCTCTGCCTGATTCCACACGTCAGAGACTAGCACAGCCTCATCTCATCTAACTGAGAAATGACTTTCCCTGGAGCCAACTTACCCTTTTTCCCAGTGATATGAGCACAGGATTTTCCAGCTCCATGAGCACCTGGAAGGCGTTATTCCATGTTTTGATAAGAAAAGCTTTCTCCTGCCGTCTGCGATTACCACACACAGTTTGGGTTGATGATGTCGATCTGATCAAATTCTGAGCGAACCTCCTGGAAAGAAGAGAGAAAGGAGTGCAAGGGAGCCCTGGGAGGATGTGGCCTACCTCCCGTCTCCTACCAGGGACACCTTTCATATGTCCCTCCCCTTTCCAGATGCATTTCTTTCTGATCCTCACAGCTACCATGGGAGGTGCCACATGAAGGGTGTATCCCTATTTGACGGAGGAGGAATCTGGCTCCTCACAGAGCGCCTTATGAGGAGAAAGGGGACCCCCACCCAGGACCCTCCATCCCAATACCGGCATCAGCCCAGGAGCTCCCTGAGGTCACTATCACAGGCAGAAACCCACAGCTTGCAACTAAGAGGGAAAATCTGCTCAGAAGACACTGAGAGCCTGCAGCAAGAGGAAACGGGGCTGCCTGCAAGCCTGGAGGGTTGGCACTACTGGTCCCAAACTGTAAGAACCGTTGACACATTTCGGTGCGACCCCACACACATGTCCTGAAGAAAAGCAGAATCCATCCCCACAGGCCCAGTTCACCAGCTCCCTCAGGAAACTCTCTTCCTCCTTCTCCTTCTTTGTCTTCTCCATTTTAAATTAAAATAGGAAAATTTGCAAGGATACATCAAATCATGGCTTTGTGTCTTCAGATCCTAGAAGAAAATGCTGTCATATCTCTTAGGATTAGATGTCAACCTTTCTAAATTAAAAATAAACTGAGGGCAGGCATGGTGGCTCATGACTGTAATCGCAATACTTTGGAGGCCAAGGTGGCAGATCACCTGAGCCAAGAGTCGAGACCACCTGGCCAACATGGTCAAAACCCTGTCTCTGCTAACAATGCAAAAATCAGCCCGGCCATGGTGTGTGGGCACTTGTAATTCTCAGCTACTCAGGAGGCTGAGGCAGGTGAATCACTGAACCTGGGAGGCAGAGGTTGCAGTGGGCTGAGATTGTGCCACTGTATTCCAGCCTGGGCACAGAGTGAGGCTCTGTCAGAAAAAAGAAAAAGAGAAAGAAAAAAAGAAAAGAAGGAAAGGAAGGAAGAAGGAAGAAAGGAAGAAGATGGAAGGAAGGAAGGAAGGAACTGAAATACCCAATGAGATCCCATTTCATACCCACCAGAATGGTGAGAATTAAAAAGACTGATAACACCAAGGTCTGGTGAGGATACTGAACAGCTGCAACAGATGGAAGAAGTGTAAAATAGTACAATCCATCTGTAAAAAAGGTCTGGCAGTATTTTATAAAGGTGAACATACACGTACCCTATGACCCAGTAATTTCACTGCTAGGTATTTACCCAAAAGAACTGTGTAAGAATGTTCAGAACAGATTTGTTCATAATAGACTAAAACTGGTAACAATCCAGGTATCAACAACATGTGAATAGATAAACTGTAGTCTGTTCACTCAATGGAATACTATTCTGCAATAAAAATGAACAACCCTGCTGATACAAGCAACAATATGGATGAATCTCAAAAACATTATGTTGGGTAAAAGAAGCCTTACACAAAACACTACTGTGATAGAAAGGGTTAATTCAGCCGGACTAGGTTGCTCAAACCCTGTACATTCCAAAAAAGGCCTGTCTTCAGGACTGGCTTCTAGGAGATAACCTCTGAACCACGGCAATGTCCTGCCTGATAAGAGGGGTTTTGTATGCTCGAGGCCTTGGGCCCTGCTCTCTCAGTCTGGCCAGATCATTTATGCTAACAGCTTGGCTTATGGTGAACACCTGTTTGTGTATGTCTGAAGCCCTGGCCGAGCTGTAACAGTTTGGACTCTGCGGGGCTGGAGACTGAGTTGCTAAGGTCAGTCACGCAGGTGCCAATGTCTACACAAAATCCCTGGACACTGAGGCTCCAGTGAGCTTTCCTGGTGGCCAGTGCTTCCCACGTGTTGTCATACATCATCGCTGGGAGAATCAAGTGTGCCCAGTAGGACTCCACTTCGAAGGGACAACTGGAAGCTCACTCCTGTCTTCTCCTAGACTTTGCCCCACGTGTCTCCTCTCTTTGCTGAATTTAATCTTTATTCCTTCATGATAATAAGTCTAACTGAGAGTAATACTTTTTCGAAGTTCTGTGAGTCCTTCTAATGAATCATTCAGCCTGGGGGTAGCACTGCAGGCCCCAGTACATTTATATACTGTATGATTCTATTTCCATAAAATTCTAGAATAGGAAAACTTATTTATAATGAAAAAAACCCAAACACTGGTTGCCTCTAAGGGGACAGGAGGTGCAGATCGCCTGGGCAAGGCGTGAGGTAGCTGTCAGAGCTGTCAGTGATGGGGATGGTCTAGCTCTTCACAGGGCTGGGTTCCATGGGTGCATGTATTTGTCAAAACTCAGCAATAGTACACTTGAGGTGTGTACATTTCATTGTATGTATATTTTACATCAACAGGAAAAACTGTAAACAAATACCAAACTCTAATGATATGCTGAAGAGTTTAGGGGAGTATACCTGTGTCTGCATTTTACTCTGAAATGCATCTAAATAATAACATGGACAGACAGATCGAGGGATGGACAGATATAAAGTGAAGAAAATATCAAAAAATGTCATTGACAACCTAGGTGAAGGGTATAAAACTATGCCAAGTAAGGCAGGGGGCGGTGGCTCACTCCTGTAATCCCAGCACTTTGGGAGGCTGAGGTGGGTGGATCACCTGAGGGCAGGAGTTCAAGACCAGCCTGGCCAACATGGTGAAACCCCATCTCTACTAAAAATACAAAAATTAGGCAGGTATGGTGGCACGCACCTGTAACCCCAGCTACTTGGGGGGCTGAGGCAGAAGAATCGCTTGAACCCGGGAAGCAGAGGTCACAGGGAGCCAAGATCATACCACTGCTATACTCCAGCCTGGGTGACAGAACGAGACTCTGTCACAAAAAAATAAAAATAAAAAATAAACTATTCCAAGTAAAAATTACTTGAACTTTGTTGTATGCTTGAAATTTTTCATAAAATGTTAGACAGAAAATCCATCAATGATTGAAAAAAAAAATTCCAAGTTTGAAAACAAGGGTCTAGTTATTGAAAACACGGATGCAGGATTACAGCTGAGGAAGGGCATTCATCCTCCCTCCAGCCTCCCAGCTTTGTCATCTGCTTGTCTGATTCACTGGCCAAGGCCACCCTCCAAGCAGATGCCCACCTCCCTCTCCTGCTGGCTTCTTCCAACTCTGTTCCCAGGTCCAGCAACCCTTTTCTGAAGGATAGGGGAAGATAATTTTTCTTAAATCTTCTTTCTTTGAAGACCATGTTCTAAAGACACTAGCAGGGATCCTAAATTACGGAGAAAGTATTTTAAGAAACATGATTTCTAAAGGCCAGGCATGTCAGCCTTCACTGGCACCAGGTCTATGAAGTCAACATTCAGGCTTTACAGGGGGCACCCCGCCACTTCTTGAGAGCCCCCGCCTTGCCCTGGAAAGGAAAAACCATGCTTGCCTCTGCCTAGTGGTTTGTAAAAAAAACATATCAAGTGCAGAGGAAGGAGAAGGCGCAGTGGACCAACGGAGAAGTGTCTGGAATTGCTAATGTCTCTTCTTTTTAAATATTCAGGAGGCACCAGATAATATTGTTCCTTCTGCTTCATTCCAAAACAACCTCCCCACTGAGGGTCAAAGGGGCTCTCTGTTCTTGCATTCAGACTAAAATCAGGATGCAAACCTTGTTCCTACAGCCATTTGCAAACTGCTCCAAAGAGTAGAGCTGGTTTTCACATAGTTCAAGGCTATGGTGCCAGACGTTAGAAGCTATGGACCTCAGTGTAGCTTCTCACTGATACTCTCTCGCTCTCTCTCTCTGTCTCTTTCTCAACAGGAGCTAGAACTCCACCCCCTTGACAATTCCCTGGTCCCTTGATCCATCCTAGATCAGGAAAGAGAGCTTAGGATTTTCCTCCCAGGAGCCATCCAGAACCTGCTCTAAGGACCCTCTGGTGTGAGGCCAAGGAATGGACAGGGCTGGGTCTGAACTTGCCCCCAGCCCCCAGCAGGAAGTCCCATGAGGTTTTTGCCCCCGCCCATGAGTGTTGGTGGCCTAGCTCAGTCAGCGGTCCAGCCCAGTGAAAGAGGCCCTCTGCACAGCCCCCACCCTGGGAAAGGGGAGCTTTCACCCCTGTGAGGTCCCGGTGCCCAGCAGGCCTACCGTCATGGATGAGCAGGTATGGTCGCAGGCCTCGCTCCTTCAGGATCTGGCAGGTGGCCGGTGCCGGGGCGGTCACCTCCCCCTCAGAGATGTCAAATCCCAGCCTCCGAAGCTGCCCCACCAGCTCTGCTCGGGACTTCTGTGACTCGTTGGTGCAGAACCTCACCTTCAGCCGGGAGCCCTTCAGTCTGCAGCAACGGAGACACGGGCCCGGGCAGTCAGTACGTGGAGTGTGGGGCCTCTGAAGGAGGCTGCGCGGTGCTTCTCGGAGGGCATCCAGCAAAGTCCAGAACAGGCCAGGCCACTGCGAGCCCCTGAGGGGACCCTGGCTGACCCCAGGTGTGTTCAGACTGAGATTTCTGAGCTGAAGCAGACCCCTTCTCAGAGGACCCCATACTACGCCCCAACTCTTTCCATCCTCACTGGACTTCATACACCTGAGGCTCCCTGAGGTTCCCCACCTGACCTCCCTTTTCATTGCCTCTCCCCCTGCCTGGGATGCAGCTCTGGCCCCCCGCATCTCCACCTGTGCCACTTCTTTTTTTTATTTTTTTTTTATTTTTGAGACAGAGTCTCGCTCTTGTTGCCCAGGCTGGAGTGCAGTAGCATGATCTCAGCTCACTGCAAACTCCACCTCCCAAATTCAAACGATTCTCCTGTCTCAGCCTCCAGAGCAGCTGGGATTACAGGTGCCTGCCACCACACCACGCTAATTTTTTGTATTTTTAGTGCAGACGGGGTTTCACTATGTTAGCAAGGCTGGTCTCGAACTCCTGACCTCAGGTCTCCCAAAGTGCTGGGATTACAGGTGTGAGCCGCCATGCCTGGCCCACCTGTGCCACTTCTACCCAGCCCCTGAGAGCCATGCGATACCTCCTCTCCACAATCCTGCTCAGCCTGGCTAGGGGCCACCTCTGAGTGTCCACAGCTATTTCTCTGTCCCTTTCCATCACACTTAGTATTTCCACTTGTAAACGAGCTGCACACGTCTACGCCTTACGAACTCTGGATCCATATTTCCCAAAAAGTACAAAGGCAGATGGCCCGAGACAAGGTTTGTCTTCTCATCACTGTCAATGGAGAAAGGTTTGCCAAAGTCATCAGGGACACCAACTATTCCGGAACGGACAGACAGGACCTGGACCCTGCTCAAACCCAGCCTGGAGGTCTCATGAACTTGAGGATGCTGCCACTGGCCGGCGGCACCGAGCTTCTTCCCTCCTGACTTCACAGGAGACCCGCGAATCCAGGCTGCACCTGGGCAAGTTCTCAGAATGCACCAAATGAAATAACATCCACCCTTCTGCAAACTGTCACTGAGCGCCTACTATGTGCCTGGCACTGGCCTGGTGCACAGAGCTATAGTCGTGAGCATGGACAAGGTCCTGGATCTCCAGGCCACTATCCAGGCTGGGGTAGGAGGAGGGCACCAAACAAGAGACCCCACGAAGGAAGGGCAATTTGTGACTGATAAGAGAGAGGCACTATTGCAGAACACAAATAGGGTGAGCAGACAGAGGGTGACAAGGCGGGGTAGGAAGGCCAGGGGAGGCCTCCCTGGGGAAGCAAGAGAGACAGCCAGGATGTGGTGCTTCTGTGCAGGGAGAGCAGGCTGGAGGACGTGGCGCCCACCAGGAAGGGACCAGAGCACGTTAGAGGAACCTGCAGAGGTAGGCGGGGTGGGTCACTCAGACCTGGGGGGAGGGTGACAGGCTGGACCTGGCTCCCTCACCCAGATCACAAGAGGCCTCCCTGGACAAACCGGCCCCAACAAGGCATGGTCATATCTGACATCTGCATCGAGCTGCAGTGTGGACTCGTAGAAAAGACATCAAGCTGCAAGCCCAAGGGCCGAAGGTTTTAAGAAACCCTAGTAAAATGAATCAGCCATGCTAATTGCATCCGGCGCTGTTCTCAGACAGGTCCCGAAACACACACATTTCACTGAGCTCCAAAGATGCAGACGTCTTGGCTCTTCACCTATTCTTTCAAACTGCATATTTTTTACAGTCTAAAGCAAAACAGCAATACAGTGTTAAATGCGTAATTTAAAATTTATAGAAAATACACATAGAGAGGAGGCATGTGCTCAAGTTTTGTTTATACAGATGTGGCCCCAAGGAAAGGAATACACACACATTCAACCCAGTTACTAGAACTACAGCTTGAAATCAACTTCCATCTGAGCAAGTGAGACCCAACTAAAAACTCAACTCAAACTGAACCCAGAGTGAATGGCATGTATCCATGTTATGGGTGAGGGACTGAAGCCCAGAAATGTCAGGGGCTTTCTGTTCCCCCTCTTGAGCCTGAGACTTTGGAGGTGGGCGTGCGGTCTTCCAAGACTGGGCGATCTCAGAAGCCCAACTGAGATGCGGAGCGGCACACAGCGAGCATGCCGCCGGCGCCGCCGAGGTGGGATGAGGAGGGCAGCACCAGCATTGCGCAGGCAGGTGTGGCACTGGCCCCACCGCCCTCCTCGCGCGATAGAAAAACTATCCGAAGCAGCAGCGTGGGGTATGGAAGTGGAGCCAAAAATAGAGAGGCCTGGGTGGAGCCACTGAGAGGGCAGATGGGCAACGCAGCCACGAGGTGCACTACACGCCTAAGTACCTCTCAGGCAATGACATCCATCCAGAGGTTGAGGTGACGTAGATCATCATGATGAGGGCGCACAGACGAGTCTCACGAACCAAGCTCGGTCAACATGGAGAAAAACCATAGTCTCTCTACAATACCAAAAAAAAAAGAAATAGCCGGGGTGTGGTGGCCGGGCACCTGTAGTCCTAAGCTCTACCTAGAGGCTTGAGCAAAAAGATCGCTTGAACCCCAGGAGGCAGTCACAGTGGAAGCCAACGCCACTTGCACTCAGCCTGGGCCACAGAGTGAGACTGTTCTCAAAACAAAAACCAAAAACAAAAAATACAGGC